GCACTCTAGTGGGGGCAACAGACAAGTCTCTAAAGAAAAAAGTGAAAATACATATACTGTGGTTTTTGTCGTTATGTCATTCGGCCTGAGGGGGGAGAGAAGTCAGCTATCCCACTGCTTCCTTTCCCTGCATTATCACCGTTTTATGACCTGCATTTTACATTTATGAGTGTATTGTGATTATCACTTCCTATTGCTCAATTTAATCTACCGCATAATTTTGAGTGACTGCAGGGTACTGTGCTTATGTTTGAAGTTTAGGTTGCTGAAGATTTTTCACAAATGCAGACAACCCTGCCATACATATCCTTTTGTATCTTTATTCACAACACTTACTGTTATTTCCCGAGAAGAAATTCCTAGATTTAGTATTACCAGGTCGAGTAGTTGAAGTGTGTTTGTGTGTATGTGTAGTTTTTCTTTGCTTGTTTCTAATTTTGTGGGTTTTTTCCTACTCCTTTTAGTCTTTTCTATGCTGATAGGTATAAAATAATTCTTCATTGTTTTAATTAGCATTTCTTTGATTATACAAAGATAATTTTCACTTCTTTTGGCCATTTGTGTTTCTTTATAAACTGCTTGGACTTTGCCCATTTTTCTGTCAGGGTTAGAATTAGTCTTGTGTTCTTATTTGGATGTTAGACTTTTATTTGTAAGACTCCCTTATAGTTCAAAGATGTTAATCTTTATTTTACTGTTACATATGTTGCAGATATCTTTCATCAGTTAGTTTTTCTTAATTTTGTTCTTAATTTGACTTATTTTTATATAGTCAACTCTGTAAGTCTTTTCTTCTCCAACACAAAATTATAAAAAATATTTGTCTTTTATTTCTTCTAATAGTTTTATGGTTTTATTTATACATTTAATCCTGCAATCCAATTGCAAATTATTTTGATATAAAGATGTAAGGCAATTACTTCATTTGTTTTTTCCCAAAATGGTGAGCAGTTGTCTGAAAACTTCTGAATATTCTATCCTTTCTGGCAGCTTAAATTAAGGATAACGAAAGTAGCAAGAGAGTGGAAGAGTGGGGGAGTGGAGGCATTGGAGTGAAGTAAGTTTTAAGATACAAGACTTAGGCAAGAGGACTTTACAGTTTAATTTTTGGAGTTGTAGCCTTATATTTTCACTAGATTGCACCAAAAAGTGGAATATTTGAAGCACATGTTTTGTTAAGGAAAGACCTAAAAATAGTGCTTACTAGTGTGAATAAAGGAAGAATGTAGACTGGAAGGGTCGTGGTGGTGGCTGTAGTTGGGCCTGGTTTATCTTTGAAGATTGCCACTTAGTATCTTACTGGTTATGTGATTTGCCTCCAAAAAGAGCACCACAACACTGGAAATTGCCTTATTTTTGAGAAGTTTGCAAACAACCCTTAATTTTCAGGGCAAAAATATGGGGGTCCAAATTAGGATGAATGAGAGGAATTTTGCCCTACATCTTTCTGCTGACAAAACTATTAATATTTCTTCTGTCTTCCTTTGACACCCAGGTTCTTACGCTTTCTATCTGGAAGCTACCTGACTTTAGAGAAGCTGATACTCGGCTCGCCTCCTGTAACGGGGTGCATCGGTTCTCCCTAACGAGTCAGCATGCAGACTGCTAAATGACTGGCACGATTACTAGAAGCCAGTTATCATTTCACTGTTTTATAATTACTTCATGTGCTTGACTTTTAATTTTAAAGAAAAGAAATAGTATTAAACTTTAAGCCCAGAGTCCAAACTTACTGAAATAAAATGTCATTGAATGTTATGTTTTGGCAAAATGTTGAGGATTTGTGTTTTTTGGGAGGTTTTTTTTTTCGGTTTTTTTTTTTTTTTTTGGTCTATTTACCATGATTAAATTGTGTGTTTTTTTCCCTTAAACTTAGGTCGTGACAAAGACCTTTCATGGTGCAGGCTTGGTTGTTCCAGTAGATAAAAATGATGTTGGGTACAGAGAGCTCCCTGAAACAGATGGTAATATATTTCACATGTAAACATGTGCATATATGTTAATATATATGGAGGAAGGTTTTCCTTATACTGGGAAGTATGTACATATACCTTTTGTGAGATGGTCACTAGACCTTAGTCAAAGGTTTTAGAGTCAGTCATGCCTGAATTAAAACTGGGTTCAAAGCTTGTGACCTTGAGCAAATTATTTGACCCCACTAAACTTTCTTTTTCATCTGTCAAATGGGGTTAAGGATGATATTTACTTCACAGGGGTATTTTGGATGTAAAAAAGTATTAAGGTACTTAACACAGTTGCCCCATGGTGCTCAAAATATGGTAGTTATCTTTAAGAATTTAAAGAATTTTAAGCCATGTCCTAGTTACTTTTTCTGAACTATTTTGAAACCTTTGACATTACGGTGAGCTTGCAAAACAGTAATTATTGAGATAGTGTGCACTCAAATAGTTTTTTGTGAACATTTTTTCATGTGCATGTAAAACTGTTTAGCTTTCAGAAGCCCAAGATCCTGAACTACTTCATCTGTAAGTTCAAAGACCCCTTGAAAATGGACTACTGCACAAAATCTAATCATTGCTGTGTTGAAAAACCACTTCTCTTTTCCCCTTCCCTGCTTTCTCTTCTTATCATGAACATCCCTCTAGGCATTCCTTTATTTCTCATCCTGTTCCAGGAGGGATAAAACTAAAGGTAAATCAAAATTAGCGTCTTCTCAAGGAAGGACTAAGTACTCCTGCCCCCTGCAGACGTTTGGCCAGCCGTTTCTCAGAACAGAACTAGCTAGCCCTGGTGGTTACCAGTCGCTGGAGTGGGGCCTGGAAGTCTGCATTCAACCATTTCTTTAAAGCAGCTGTTCTCAGATGTGATTGTGCAGTCTCCAGCTAACAGATTGAGATGTTTCAGATGACAGCTGTTCATACGTAATTATTTTTGCTGTACCCCGACCACTTCAGAGGAATTCCGTGGGGGAAGTGAGCTGTCCAATACCGTGGCCACTAGCACTTCACATGTGGCGGGTGCAACTGAGGACAAAATCCGTAATTGTGCTTATTAATTAATTTAAATTTATAAATTGAAGCAGTAGTGAATGTTTGTGTTGAAATGATACGATTTTGGAATATTGGGTTAAATAACATCTTAAAATTAGTTTTACCTGTTTCGTTTTTAATATGGATACTAGAAAAAATTTAATTACATATGTAGCCCATTATATTTCTCTTGGATAGGCTGATCTGTCCTGTGTCTCCTCCTTGAAGCCAGAGGTAACCAGTCTCTGATGGGAAGGAGTGTGGGCTCTAATCTCTTCTGCTCCTCTGCTCACTAGCCTATCCAGAGTTTTAGAAAGCATCACCATCTCGTTTGAGAACATTGTTACAGAGATGGTGGTCTCTAAAACTTTAAGGGTGTGGTAGATGTTACATTGTAGTGCCCTGGAGTAAAGCCTGTTATCCTACGTTAGTTGTGGTTCTGGGTTTTATGTCTAAGTCTAATATTCTAGATCCTTCTGTTGTTTACTTATTTTGAATAAGAAGTTATAGCAAGACATAAAAGTTAAGGACCTAATCTTGCCCTTGCCTAGTGTTGTTTGCCAGGAGGTATAACTGACTGGCAGTTTGTCATTGTGACTGTGATTAGCAAATCACAATTGAGTTTATTCCTAACCAATATTCCCTTTGAAGCTTCTTACAATAACACTGTAACCTGGCAAATAAGGTACCATTTTTGAGCAATTCTTAAATGTCAGTGTTGTGATTCACTGTACCAAGTGACGTATACATAATATTTAATCCTCATCCAACTCCTAAAGTAGGTCTTATTCCCATTTTCACAAGGGAAAGATCTAGAATGTTTAGCACTAGTAGATGAAGGAGCTGGATTTCAAACTCGGTCTGACTGTAGCGTGTATACCACTACCTACCACTACCCAAAGAAAAAAAAATTGCTTAGCTAGTTGCTTGATTTTTACTTAATATAATGTAAAATAATGATACTCACTTCATCGGGGTGTTTGGGATATAAAAGGGTATGTCAGATGCTTAGCACAATATTGGCCTCATAATGCTCAAAATGTGGTAGAATTTAAAGAATTTTAGCCTATTGCCTCGTTATTTTTTCTGAACTATTTTGGAACCTTTGACATTACATATTCTTGTTTTGCTTTTTTATTTTTCAACCATTTAAAAATGCAGAAACATTCTTAGTTTGATGACAGTTAAAACCAGGGTGAGCCAGGTTTGGCCAAATTTGCCAATTTCCTGCACTAGCCTAATGAAACTTTGAAAGTTTATATAAAATCATGATTGTGACTAAATCCATTATGAAATAGTCATACTTTGCTAATACAAAAAATCTCTTAAGCCATTTTTATGCCTAAATCCTAAGTAGAGAAATGATAAAATTGCCATTCTAACTTACAGTGCTATAGTACTAGTGCTATTGTACTAGTACGAAAAGTCATGTGGGGAAAACCGTGCTCATAGTCTCTTTACCTTTGAAGACAGTTAAAATCACTTTTTAAATTGTGTCATCTTTTTGTATTGATTTCTTTCAGCTGCTCTCAAGAGAATTTGCAAGATAATAGTTGAGGCTGCAAGTGATGAGGAGAGACTGAAAGCTTTTGCCCCCATTCAGGAGATGATGACCTTCGTGCAGTTTGCCAACGACGAGTGTGACTACGGCATGGGCCTCGAGCTGGGCATGGACCTCTTCTGCTACGGCTCCCATGTGAGTAGCGGAAACCGCCCCCTGCCCCGCCACGCGCGCGCGCACACATTTATGTCCCCAGGTTCCAACACAGTAGGGTATGGATTCAGCATGCATTTCAAAATAGGCAGATGTTCCAAAAATATTTATTTGAAATTCACCTTGTATTCTGGCAAAGGTGAATAACAAGATTATTTGCCTTCAGCTTGACATTAAAGTGAATTTACTTATTAGACGTACTATAGGGACATGCCTTTTGGTATGTGTATTTGTTGCTGTATACGTGGGTGTGTACACACCCCTCTCCTGAAGCTTCGTTTCATTTCCGTTGTGGTAGGGGTATTTGTTACTGTGCCTCAATTCTTAGATGAAGAATAAATACTATTTTTAAGTATGCTTTAAATTTGTACAAATAGATGCTATTCTATCATTAACCGTTTTCTTATTAAATCAGAAATTTACTTAACGACTGCTTACCCAACTGTAGTTGCCTCAAAGTCAAAGAGGCAATAAGGTATAGTGCCTCTAACACCTTTGTATCTGTTTCCTTACCTGCAAAATATGTGTGCACACACACAGAGACCATTTAATCTACTTTGTAACCGAGTCAGAGACAGGCAAAGCGTCTTGCCCACATTCTCATACTTGTCTGGTTCCAGAGTCGGTGTTTAAACCGGTACAGTAATTCCTGGACTGTAAAGTGCTTATGAATCACCTGGAGATGCTGTTAAGGTGCCAATTGTCCCAGTAGGTCTGGGATGAAACCTGACACTCCCAGGTGCAAGACTAAACCGTAGCTCTCCAGCCTTAGCACAGAACCGTCTGGAGGGCTGTTCAAACACAGACTGGTGCTCTGCCCCACAGTTGGAGTTCTTGGGTGGGTCTTGAGAACTTGCATTTCCAGTAAGTTCCAAGGTGAGGTTGATTTCCCTGGTCAGGGCAGGCCATCGTAAGAACGTGCTATAACCTGTTACACTGCCGTTCTCCGCCTGCCTTGCGTGTGGTGGTTGTCAGTAAAAGCGATCAATGTGCAAGGCCAGGACGACAGTCACCGACCAGTCAGACCGGACCTGGCCGTAAACGAGCCATACGCTGAGCACCAGCCGAACAGCAACCTTACTGTTGTGAGAAGTAAATAACACATAAGAGTTATGAAAAGGTTAGCACGCTACTTACCACACGTTAAACACTAAATGTTTATCATCAACAAAAGAACGTAGGCCTGCTAGTCCTACGAGCATAGATGTGATAGCAGTAGTCTGAAGTGGCTTTGGCTCTTAGCAGGGGTGCAGCAGTTACGCGGCGAGCTGAGAAAGGAGGAATTTGAGGGTACGGGGAGGGCGTGAGGTGTGACCCACACTGAGCACAGCTGTTCTACACAGTCAACAAAGGAAAATAAAGCCTAAACTTTTGACTGGTGGGACTGGAGAGAAGAAGAAAAGTGTTTGTGGGTATAGTTTGGGGTGAGAAAATTGGATAAAACCTAAGGGAACAGGAAAGCTGAAGTTTTTAACTGGTTTTCTTAATTTTCTTCAAGATACGCCTCTAGTCTTTTAGAGCGACAAGATTGCCCCTTGCACAGAATGCCAGGTGCCTGATCAATTGCGAGTAGCTGAAATGATTTTGGAAGTGGGCGTTGCAAACACGTGCCTGTTCAGTGTGTTTTCTGCTACTTACAAAGGCATCTGCTAGATGCTCTGCTTAATGTTTTTATTTTTCAGTATTTTCATAAAGTTGCTGGCCAGCTTTTACCTCTCGCATATACTCTTTTGAAGAGGAATCTGTATGCAGAAATCATTGAAGATCACCTGGCAAACAGAAGTAAAGAGAACATAGACCAACTTGCAGCATGAGTGGGAGGGGGCTTTGTTCGAGGTACAATATTTTAAAGTATTGGTATTAAACTTGTGATTTGTTCTGTTTTTAAGGAATACAAAAATAAATTAGAAACATTTGCTAAAAATTCTATAAGGTTTTTTCTTTCATCTGCAAATAAGTGCCAGTCAGGTCATCTAAATGGGGACACCCTAATTGCATTTTCATCCTCTGACAGGTCACAGGAAATCACTCCTAATGCCTGTGGATAACCAGAATATCCTCCTCAGAGTCCTGTTTCAGTATCATATGGACAACTAAGAAAGTGTTTCTGCTGAGTTTTGAGTTAATAGCGTTAAGGGTTGGTTTATGGGGAGTTAGGAGGGACACAGGAGAAGGAAACTCAGGACATCGTAGCCAGCGCCCTCCTAGGGTGTCCGAGCCCAGACCCGACAAGCAGCATTGTTGCGCGGTGTCCCAGCAGGCACTCCAGTTAGCCCACTAGGTATATTCTTCAGCTCTCTTTTGACTCAGTCTAATTGACTAAGAAATATGGCATAGTAATTGATATATAGTGTTAGTGTAAGACAGTAAAATCAGTAAGCCACGGATTTGACTCGCCCGAAGAACTTTTGTTGAATAGCACTTCTCCAAAGTTCTGTCAGCTGTCTCAGATTTGAGGTAGTTTTTAAAATACAAGGTATGAGTACACTATTAAAAGGCAAAACTTTCGATTAGGGTTTTAAATGAGTGGCCTGTCTCATCCCCCCAGGTAGGCTGTGAGCTTTTTGAGGGCACGCGTTTTACGGCCATCGCCCCCTCAGTAACAAACTGCGTGTGCGCCGAGCACTGCCAGTGCAGGCGGTTACCACGTGCTCTGCAAGGGCGGCATATTCTGTGTAATGACTAAAATGGAACAAGATCCTCAACTTCCCTTTCGTAACTGCACAGGCACTTCCACAGTTCTGATGGGGGGTCTCGGAGGTTTTGAGGAGCTGCCATGTCATTCACTTAAGCAGCTCCAGGCCCTGGACCCGTGTGAACTGTTTTATATTAAAACATTACAGTAACAATTAGCGCACACATACTTTGATTAGAAAAAGTGACCGCATTACACTGATCTTAAATAATCTAACATTTTGGAAGCTCTTGAGCTTTTTTCCTTAGATTTCTTTAGTTTCTAAAGTGCCTATTTCTAAATACTGCCCCTAATATTCACACATATATTCTTAAAATATTGATTATCCAAATTCAGGTATCAGCTGCTAAAGGTTTGCTTAGCTAGAAATACTATTTTGCCATTTAGTGATCCAACAGTCTCAAATGTGTAACTTTTCTACATGCCTTGTGATCAGCAATATGGATTCCAAAAGGATTTATCAAGGGACAAAAGAGGCGAATCAGCTTTTCATCCATTCCTTACAGAAACCTAACGTGACTGTGTCTTCTTGGCTGTGTATAGGTATATCGCAGCCAAGACAGAGATTGGACACTAATCTCAATATGGCAGTTATAATTTGGCTAATGTTGTGAACAGGGTTTCCTGAGGACAACAATAGGACAAGAAATGTGGACTTGCAGTCTCAGACTCCAGCCAGCTGTGTCAGGGCCCGCACGTTTCAGGAGGTACTGATCTCCAGCCACCGAACGTTCTTCATTGAAGAGCAAGCTCCTTTCGGCGGGACACCAAAACCTTCCTTACCCTTTTCCTTCCCTAAAGGCATAATCCATTTAAACTTATTTTACTAAATATTTTATCTACCTGGGATCTGGGCACTCAGTGGCTGTAGTAGCTTCCAAATGGCAGCTGTATACCTCTGTTCCCCGAACACATTTTAAGTGGCTAGGCTCTTCGTGAAGGAAGCGCCGTGACCCAGTCAAGATTTAACGGAAAATTATCACTCAGTTCAAGCTTAGCTAGCCTTACCTTTTGGGGCTCAACAACGGAGCTTCTACATGACCCTGAAACGTGAATGCAGAATGATACACCCAAGGAAAAACGAAAGCTACAAAACCACCTGGGACATACTGCCGTACATGGCGCGGCAACAGCATAAGACCCTTGCACGAGCTCAACCTTTGACCTTGCTTAATGTCATTCTGTCCCAACCACTCCAACCCTAGTTCTCAACGTCAGTGTCTGTGTAGATGATCCCTGCAAGACCCTGACCTCTCAGATCCTTGTCTTACTCTTTCAATGGTCCGGGCTAGAGCTCGATCGACAAACTAGCACCTTGTCAGCACCGACGATGAAAATCTCCCTGGTCGCAAATCGCAGGCATCCTACTGTCTGAATGTCACCGCCCATCTTCCCGTCCCTTTTCCGCTACTACCTCAGTGTTCAACCCGGCAGTACCCTCCGGTTCATCGCGCTGCCCACTGCACCCTCGGCTCCCTCTTCACCCGGCCTTCGCGTTCCGCTCCCCGTCCGGCCACTCCCAATCCTCCACCGCCTCTCGCTCCGTTTGTCGCATTTTTCTGTTAGAGCTTGAGCCAAATGAGAACTGCCCATTCCGTGCTTGAGCCTGTTCGGCATCAGGTAGCTGGAGAAGAAATGCACCCACGACGCTGGTCTTCCTTTTCCCCAAGTTGGCCGTGCTGGGTGCCACTGACCTTAGACTGTCTCACCCTTCCTCAAACTTCCCACGTCCTCTCCCATTCTGTTTGTTTCACTGCAAAATGCAGCGATCGAAAGAACCTCAACAAGATCTCGGCATCTGCCAACTACCATATACTCGGCATTTCCCCGCTTCTGTGACTGCGGCCCACGTCCTGTGGGTGTCACTCCTTCCGTGCCTACTCAAGGGCCTCTCCTTCCTCTCAGGCCGTTCATCTTCCCTCTCAAACGCTTCCGTCACTGGCAGCAACTCAAGCTGCACCATCCGGCATCTTACAACAGATCTGATCTCACCAGCCTCCTCACCCGTTTCCATCTGCAGCAAACGAAGCTGCCACGCCCTGCATCCAGACACGCTCCTTCCCCGCATGCCCCGCAGGAGTCGCACTCGCCACCCTCAGCGCCTCTCCTGCCAGTCTCCGTGGCACTCGCTGCAGCCACGCTCTTGCTGCCACCGCCCGCTGCGCCGCGGGCCAGCCGCGCGTCACCTCCACGCGGGCCAATCGTCAGCCTCAGGCTCGTCACCCACCAGCAGCGCCCACGGCCGACCCTCCCTGAAACCGCCATTCTCCGGCTTAGGGGCTGCCCTTCGGTTAAGGGCACCGCTCCTCGCCCGACCTCTGCCTTGCTGGCTCGTCTCCCCACACCTAAGCAAAAACGCGTCCGCGCTCAGTCCATGGCCGCCTCCTGTCTCGGGGTGACGTCTGCTCTGCTCAGCGCTCGGGCGGGCACTTTCCCCCGAACGAGTCTCGTACATGCTGCGCCCCTGGACATGCCCGCGTGGAGTCTAAAAGGCATCGAAACCTAATGTCTAAAGCCAAAACTCCCCTCCACACACGCTCAGCCCCAAACCTACTCTTCCTGAAGTCTCTCCCAACTCAGCGTCCACTCCGCTGTCGTTACTCAGACCAGACACCGTGCAGACATCCTAACTGCTCACCGCACTCCGTCCATCAACAAGTCCTGGCAGCCAGGCTGGCGGCTTGCTTGTAATCCTAGCACTCTGGGAGGCTGAGGCGGGAGGATGGCTTGAGGTCAGGAGTGCAAGACCACCCTCCGCAAAAGCGAGACCCCATCTCTACTAAAAATACAAAAAAATTAGCCGGGCATGGTGGTACATACCTGTAGTCCAGCTACTCAGGAGGCTGAGGCAGGAGGATCGCTTGAGCCCAGGAGTTTGAGGTTGCTGTGAGCTAGGCTGACGCCACGGCACTCCAGCCTACACAACAGAGACTCTGTCTCAAAAACAAACAAAAAACATTCCTGTCTATACCACCTTCAAGGTATCTAGAATCCGACTACTTTCCCCACCTCCACCAGCCTCAGGTTCAGACCTGTACCATAGCTCACCTGAATTATTCCAAGGGCCTCCTACCTGGTCTTCCCACTTCCACCACCGCCTCCTCAGTCTGTGCCCAAGAAAGGGATCAGGTCATCTCAGGTCAGGTTGCGTCACTTTTCTGCCTTCCTGGCTTCCCATTTTATTTGGAAAACAATCAAGCCCCCATACCCCCAACCTTTCTTTCTTTCTTTCTTCCCTTTTCCCTCCGAGCCCTCTCCCGCCAGTTACCTACCAGGCGTTGCCTGACCCTGGCCGGAATATCTTACTTCAGGCTGTGGTATACAGTACTTTCTTTTCCCAGACATTTTCTCACACGGAAATGTCGTTCCCTCACTGTCTCTAGGTTTCTGCTCGAGTGTTACCTCATCCTTGAGGCCTTCCCAGATCACCCTCCACAAAAACAGGGCACACACATGCACGCACCTTCGCTTTTTCTCCATTGGAAGAACTCTAGTAGAATGAAGATTTTGCCTGATTTTGTATGCTAATAATGGTAGGAATCATTAAAAAAAAATTGCTGAACTAATTTATATTTATCACCATCTGGTATTTGTTCCTTTTCCTACTGGAATGTAAACTTCAAAAAAATAGAATCGTGCCTGGCACAGACTGAGTGTTCAGTACACATTCAGTGAATGAATGAATGATACAGGATCTACTCTGGACTTGAAGTGTTTTCCTTTTTACTAAAAGTTTTTTTTATTTTTCCTCTCAACCCAGCTCTTCCTGACTCTGGGAAGAACCGGGAAGAGAAGGCCTAAAAGTTTAATAGCAGAAGACTATTAAAGTCTTATTCAAATGTTACTTACCACTCCCTTTAGGCAGTTCTACTAGCAAATTTCCAAGGTAATTAAAAAAAAAAACATGTAAATTTTACCTGTCTTCATGCAAACAGGATAATTTTTCTTCTAAAAATATCACATTTTTGACAGTGAACTGAAAGGAAATCCGTTTCTTGCAGACCTGCAACTTTCACTGCCGAACGGGGCCGTGAACTGTCGCTAGTAACACGCACGTCCTCCGTTCGGTCCGGCATTGACCCTTCTGTCGCTCCTTGCTTGCAAAGTACAGAAACGGCTTGTAACATGAGAGCAGCATTGTAATTATCATCTTTTTGAGGGTCCATGTGCCGGGCATATTGGCCTACACTGCACAGGGCAGCAGTACAGAGCAGGACTGTAACAGATACAATTAAAGGCCAAACCACACATTGTCGTATAGATTTTAATAGGTTTCTGATTAACTCATCACAGTAATCATTTTTACTGTAATGATATGCAGCTTTACTAGTGTAAATAAAAACAGATAAATACAGCTCTAGGCAACATCACAGATTAACAAGCTAAGCATTTTTCATGAACCAAAACTGAAAACATTTATTAGTAAGAAGAGATGCTGACACCCTTGCCCATTCTCATCATACCTTCTCAAAAAGGGTACTCGAATAAGGCGCTACTTATATTGGTCAATTAATCTGCCAATTAGTCAGGCACAACAGTTTCATGGTCTCCACTGTCTCACTGTTTGGTTGAAAAGAAGACACACCTCAACGTATCCAAAGGAAAAATGGAGCAGATAGTAATACCAAAGAAAAATCCGGCACTTTTCCTGTATTTCAGCAGTAAGACACACCAGGGATAGAAATGTACCAAAGAAGAAAATTAATGCTTTATTATCCACCCTGAAATGTTAGTCTCTGAAGCAGGATGGGCAATGAAAGTAGGAGCTGAACTCAAACAGGGAAATGTGGAAAATAAGATCCACGTGAAGTTTAGCGTATGAAGCTATCTGCGAAGAAACTGGTTTCTCCTTTGATGGCTCGTAAGTCATGACGAGCACTTAAGCTATCCAGTAGCCATGCTGAGGAGTCACCGGTCCAGCAGCCTCCGCACGGCAAATACACTCAGGACAAGGTGGAGACACATGGAACTATCATTTGGAAATGACTCCACCCCGGATGCCAAAAGAACGTTGAAGGGGCTATGAAGAGGGAAGTTATGAGGACAAAACACTGATTTAGGCAGACAGCACAGCTAAGAATGTCTCATGAAATTCCCAACATTTTGCTCAACTTTCCATCATCATTCTCATATGGCTTCGTGATCTTACAAGTCTTCAGGATCTTACAGATTTTATGTGATCTTATAAGTATATTATTATTGAGAACTAGGAAGTGAAGAATCACTTCCAAAAATGTAAAAATGGCTCATTGCCAGTTGTCTTTTAGAAAATATCTGCCTGCAAAAATTCATTTTCCTTTCAAAAATGTACAATCACAGAATATTTAAGCCAGTTCTTTGAGTAAATTGCCTTTGCCAATTGAGAATTAAGACAATTAAAACAGACATTTCCAAAAACAAAAATCCCAAACATATTCTAGTGCATTTTAACTCATCCTGCAAAAATGTGCGCTACTGATACTCAAACCATCATCGAACACTTCTCATGTGGATGCGACCTACCCAAAGATTCAAAGGTTATGTTCAGATTAAAATTTTAACTGCTAACTTTGCGATTTTATTGTTTTCATTTTTTGTTTGATATTTTAAAAAAGGTTAACACTTTTGGTTTCAATCTGCAAAGTAATTTGTAGTGTTTCATCTTTCCAGACAACAGGTTGGAAGACAGTCCAGGAGATGGCAGTGAGAGATCAGAAACGGTTGACGCACACGATGGGTCGCTGAGCGATAGCCACAACCTGCTTTTACACCCCTGTTCCCGCTGTAAACTTTGTTCGTATCTCCATATTTGTAAGTCTCAATTAGTCTATAAATATCACATTAAAAAGGTAAATTTAAGTGCGATATTAACTGATCTGTATTTTATAAATTTTAATCCATAAAAATATAAATAAGAATGGTAAATTTTTAAGAAAAGAAATATACATTTAGTGCAAGTTATGAATTACATTTCTTCTTCAGGGTCAGCAGTGAAATACCTTGAGGAAAGAAAAGAATGACTGCTTCTAATTTCAAGAAAAAAAAATTCCAGTGTTGCAACATGCAGTTAACGTCAGACACAGCGAAACAGGACTTGCTGTCTTCACTGTCGCGGGGCAGCACTGTTCAATTATGCTGAACAGCACTTGCGGACATCAAAGTCGTTGCAGAGATAGAAAATTTGCATAAGACCAGGTCACATTATCCATACAGTCTGAGAGAAAAAGAACTGCTTATCCTTTAAAATCGAGTTTCGTTGTTTTTGATTCTGAATCACACGGCGCACAAGCTGAGAGATTTCGTTCATGCTTCATTCGAGATGTCACCTGTTTGATCAGCCTTTGCTGTGGTACACGTGTACCGTTCCAAGCGTTTAGTGATGGTACAAACTACGTGGTTAATGGCACAAGAAACACTCCCTTCTTGTGATGAAACCTCAGTAAAATCACGGTACATCTCAATATGAGAAAGGACTGTTCAAAAGGGTACACCAATTTACAGAGGCTTTGTTACAGAGAGACAGAGAGAGAGCGAGAGAGAGAGAAATAAAGGCTCTTCTGGAATGCAGAAAGGTAATGCTTAACTATACAATGCATGAATTAAACAGAACAGTTTTGATAAAAAAGGGCAAGACCTTGCAGTTTTATAGATGGCTCGATTCAAAGTAATCCCTCCAGAAATAGGGACTGATACGCGTCTTCGCAGTGTTGGGGTCACAGGCCCGGTGCTCGAGGACTCTGGCGTCATCTCTGCCGAGGCACAGCCTGCACTGTCCCGGCCCGTCCTCGGCTGAGCGCAAGCCGTGCAGAACAGCAGCAGCCGATGCGCTGCTCTCCGTTACACGGGGAACACCTCACTCTGTCCTTCTCTCTCTCCTTTCCCTCCCCAGACTCCTCCATTCCACCAGCATTATTTGCAAACCAAGTTGCAAAAGCCCGGCTTTTATATTTCCTTTTTTTTTTTTTTTTTTTTGTTAAGGAGAAAAAAAAGTGGACGACTCCCTCAGGTTAAAGAGTTGTGCTATTCAACAAACGAACTTCCTCTTCCGTTTCTTCTCTCTCCTCATCTATGGGATTCAGTTGAACATTATTGAAGCGGGGTCTTGGTTTGCCGTCTGGGCCATATGACGGAGGATATCTTTTTTTGTTATAATGCCAAGGAGGCGCCTGGAAGGGATAAACAGAAGATCGCTATTAAAATAAAAGGGGCGGGGAGGGAAGAGACGCTAAATCTACAGCTAAATCCTTTCTGTTGACAGAAATAGAGCAAAGCAAGCAGCCTGATTTTGTATTTTCAAAATGTATTTTATTGGTAAAGATAATAAAATTATCCAGCAACCATCCTCTGATATCGAAAGTATTATGGTCACTACTAGTATGACGGCCTATCCACCGAGACTCCGAGGACTGCCCGCCCCCTCGAAGCAGAGCTGTTTTGATTAATGTTTGCCAACAAAACAGTGACAAAAAATGGAGAATGTATGAACAGGAAATGATGCTGATCCCATCTGAGAAGGAAAATTCCTTCCCGTCGCATCACGAAAGCAGTAAAATGTCTGATGACCAAATAAATCCCCTCAATGCTTCACTTCCCTGTTTAACCAAAATTAACCAATTTTTAAAAGGTAATTTAAGGATTGCCCACTTGTATGCAGAATCTTCATGAAAGCACATAGAATTCAGATAAAAATGCATATAAAATGGTCAACACAGAACTTCAATCCCAAACTTCAGGACCCCAAGAATAAATCTGTAAGACAATCCAAGTTTCTAGTACACTTATCAATGTTTTCCTATTTTGATTTTGGCCAAAAAAGTTAAGATACAGTGCTTTTATGAAAGTCTTAGTTGTTAATGCTTACATTAAAAGACAGGTGAAAAATCAAGAAGCAGTCCTAAAAGATCATTACAGGTGAAGCAGAAAGCAGAATGAATGAGTAGCTACTATATTATTCTGGTTAGTAGTTTTTAAAAAAAGGATGCATGAAACACTTGTGAAATATTAGCATACAACAGGAATACACAATTAGTTGTGTACTTAAGCAAACTGGGACAGGTTTCATATAGGTATGACAATTGCAGGGCAAAATAATTTTAGGCATTAATTGCTAAAGCCAGACAATTTTTATGTTACTCAGTAGATAATTCAAAATTTATCTGTAATCATGAAATCACTAGGACATCAAGCCAGTTAAAACAAATGCATTTGACCCCAGATCTGCTTATTGCATTCTAGAAACATCATACAAAAGGGGCACCCACATAATCTAGGTACAGTTCACTAATGAAATGGCAGGACACACATTGTGACTTTGAGGACATGGAGGGTATAGCAGAAAAAGAATTAACGCTATGATCACAAATATATACGCATTACACTCTAGCTAGTGTGCCCATTAAAAAAAATCCATGTAACTGTCAGCAATTCTAATCACTAAGCTCGGTTAAAATCACTTAGGAGCTTAGATTTACCGTAAGACTGCCACAAGATTAGGAAACATAAAAAAGAAAAAAGGGCTTGGGGTGATAGGGCGGACATTTGTAACCAGTCCGAAGTCTTCTGAGACCAGTGTGTCTCCACTAAGTAGACTGATTTGTCATGTACACCCTAAGAATGTTCAATAATATTACTAGTTCAACTACCAAACTGTTCACAGTTCTTAAATTGTAACTAATGATTTTGATGAGAGATGTTAACTTTTGCTTGCTTTCTACCAATGGAATTTTATACAGTATCTAAATTTATCTTACAGACATAACGTATCAGATACAAATGTAACTGGCAGCAAAGCAGGATATTTTTGTTCAGCAGGTATCTGGGAAAGAGAACTGAACAGTTCACAAGTTTCATGCCTCCTGACTTCTAAGGTGTCTAATGAGGAGATCTGATATATCTAATCACCAAGGGTTCGACGTGCTGCTTTAGTTGCTCGAGATGCTCTAATATGTTCTTCTTTGTGATGATCCCCAAGACAATCCTGAAACAGATTATTATGCTAATAACTGTGTGAGAAATTAAATTAAAAGCGGTTCCAATCATAATGATAAAGAATGAGAAAACAAAACAAAAACATGAATGACAAGAATGCTTCTCATGAACTTTAGAAAAATAAAAACAAAAATGATTTAAAATTCCAGTCTCCTTTTGCATAAACTCTACTGACTTTCAAAAGTGATACAATACTATTTTTAAATATTGGTGGGTTATTTTTCTTTTTAAATTAAAAATCAAAATTATGAAAGTTTGGAATGGCGATGGCTACAAAGCAAAGTACAAAAGAAACTCGGTATTGATACACAGCCATAAACCTCTGAAACGTAGAGCTCCATTTTCAGTGTTCGTTCACAGAGGAAAATATTTTTCCAATTTCTAAGATGTCACACCACGACAGCTATCATTTGGATCTACCTCAGCAGTGGAAGGGTAGGAAAAGCTTAGCCTTACTGCCTGTGAGAAGACTTAAGAAACCTATTGGATTTTACTATTATTTCCGATTAAAATTAAAACTAAGTAAATAGTGCTGACCAACAGAAACACTCCCTAAATTTCAGGAACTGTGAATGCCACTTCTTAAAATAAGCTAATAAAACCTATTTATGATTAAGGATCAAAAGGACTTTTACTTTATGCTTTTTTCCCCAAATAACAATTATTTCTCAGTTAACATGTCATTATTATTACATCAAGCAAAATGATGGACACAAATTTTCATAATGAGGACACTTAAAACTAATTAGACTGCTTTTAATTATTAAGACAAAATTCTGGTTACACGGTTTATAATGGAAATTAATGAATTCAACTGCAATATGTGGCACATAAACAGTAAAGTCAAAAACCTTGAAAAAAAGTTAATCTTTAAACTCTGAAACCTATCCAAAATGCCCTTCCGGGTGACTGCACACTTCCTGATGATCTGGTTCAGTCAACTTTCCTGTTAAGCTGCCTTTGAACATTCTGGCTTCTTGAAGAATGTCACCGGGGACTTCAAAGCAGTCTGGTCCTACAGCTATGGCCATTATACAATAGTTACTTAGTGTGACAGCTCGGGTGGGGGCAGGGAGCAAGGAGGGTAGAGAACAGGAAAGGCAGAAACTGGTTCTTTGCTCATGTTTTCTCACTATTTTTTAAAAAATATTGTACTGATCCTTCAGAATAAAGATAAATTGAAAAGTTCTCAGAGCATGGGGGCAACTTCCCCTCCAAAAAAAGCTCAGAAACTATATAAAACGAGCATTCAATCACTCATTAGATGTTCTTCACTGACTAAACTTTTCAGGTTTTTCTTTTTTTTCTTTCTTTTAAGCCATCAATTCATTTGATTTTATGGTTGGAGTCAGGAAACGCGAAAACCCTGGCAATTAACTAGATACAATAACACGGGTTTAATTCTAACTCATGCTTTTCTGTCCAATTATACAGAATGATTAATCTCAGTTAGCATCATTTATATTAATCAACTCTGCCAAATCAGCCAAGGTACACTGTGAGGAAAGTTACAAATTTATAAGGACCAAGTGGCAAATTTAGAGAGTTACAAAGTAATCTTTATATTTACAAAGTAATAGCCCCTAAAAGGGAGAAACACACATAGTTCTTCTCTTTAGTTAATGGAGAATAGTGATTTGAGAATAAAAAGGCCAGGTTCAGTGCTGCTTTACTAATTTTAGGGAGTAGAAGGAAAATCGCTGTAAATGTGACTAAAGAATTATTTGCTGTTTCCTTTTGGGCTAACAAGTAATGATGTATTAACAGAACATAACTCAGCATTTCTCAAAGTATGTTCCAAGAGACACCAGCCCACAAGTTCTTATCCCCTCCCCCTACCAAAAAATGGTTGCATTTTCAAATTAGCTGGGAAAACTGTGTTTCCCACTACCCCCTATCTGGGAATCAAAGAATATCAAGATTTTAAAAGTTCAGAGAAGTTCCATAGTAAAGAACCTCAATTGTATTTAATCCAACACTTTCCAAATTTATACAGTCACAAAACATTTTTTGAGTAACTCCTATTAACATCCCACTAGTTCCACGAAGATTAAAAGATTTGGAGAAACTCTGCTAAGTTAAAATATAAAATGTGGAAAATCAATAAGTAATTGACATCTTTATAATTTACAGACTCATTTCCTCCTGTCTCTATTCCGTTTTCCTCCTTGCATCTAAGGTTCTAGATTTGCTGTGTCTCTTCCCGCAAATAACTATTTTCCACCTCTAAGTCCCAGTGTAAACTAAAAGATGTTGATAGCTATCTGGTACTTCATACTCTCCACTAAAACCTGCAAGACATGATTTCTTTCCTGCGTTTTAAATCATTTAAGTGGAAATAAAACACCCTACTTCCTTACATACTCCAAAGAGCCTAAGAACCACCTCTCCAAATGATCTCTTTTTGACATATATATCAATTTATTTTCCTTGATAAACAGAAATAAGGAAAATATGATCAAGGCAATTAAACATATTCCCTTAGGAAAAAGCCCCCCCCCATATAAACAGGCAGCATCAGATAAAATTTTAATTAGCTATCTTCCCTTCTCTCTGCCCACTTTGTTATTTTTATACTTTCTTTTAAACATTTTCCTTTCTGATATCTATGCTGCCAAAAACCTGGGAATTAATTAGTGAACTGAAATATGAAAATTAACCCATATAGCAGCTTTGTGATCACAGTTACTCATAATCCAGAGAACAACATTTATATTTGTTAGTACATAAAAGAACAAACCAAGCCAGGCACAGAGAACTTGAAGCAAGTAACAGTTTGTAATGAGTCAGCTTAGGTTCCAATTGAGCCACTTAATAATTAAAAGGGCCCAAGCGCCAGCAAAGCTTGTTGAAAAGTCACCCCACTTAACGAGTACTTATTAAGTTTTTAAAAAGTGAAGTCTGGTACCAATATTTTTAAAAATTAAATAGTATTAAACAAAAGAAAATAGCAACAGTAATATTTTATTATATACATCTCTTCTCCAATCAGAATCTGTGATATTTAATAATTCTAAACTCCTTGCTCTTAAGAGCTTTATCCCTTTAATGATTTATTTCATATCTCTAAAAGTTATTTTTAATGGGTTAGCACAGTGACAAACATTAAACATGGATCTAATTTTCTAGCTTTATATTTCTATTTGTAATCCAATCTAATATATTGGCCAAAAAATATTTTAGTAGTTTAAGAAATCACAAAGAAAGAGGGTTTTTTTTTTTTTTTTTAGGACAGAGTCTCACTCTTTTGCCCGGGCTAGAGTGCCGTGGCGTCAGCCTAGCTCACAGCAACCTCACATTCCTGGGCTCAAGCGATCCTCCTGCCTCAGCCTCCCAAGTAGCTGGGACTACAGGCATGCGCCACCATGCCCGGCTAATTTTTTCTATATATTTTTAGTTGTCCGATTAATTTCTTTCTATTTTTAGTAGAGACGGGGTCTCGCTCTTGCTCAGGCTGGTTTCGAACTCCTGAGCTCAAACAATCCGCCCGCCTCAGCCTCCCAGAGAGGTAGGATTACAGGCGTGAACCACCGCGTCCGGCCGAAAGAGGGTTTTTTCTATCGGCAAATTACAGTGTAAAACAGTAGCAAGAGATTGGGTTTTTTAAATTTGGAAAGATAGTCTGATTCTCTGACCCATGTGATTCACCACGTCACTTTCGGCAGACTATTAAACCTTCTCGAGTTTCAATCACTGCATCTGTAAAGCAGGGACACCACTTCCTATTTTGCAGAGTTCCACATAAAGGTGTTTCCTTCCTTCTTGTTCTTTCTCCTCCTTTCTCTAGACAGGGGTCATATATTCTGTCACGCACGTATTTTGTACAAAATGTTAAAAAGAAAAAAAAACTCTGCTGTGATTCTATATATATTTGGTATTTAAATCAGCTTCATGCTGTTCGGGCTTAGCCATCAGCCAGTTTCTCCTTCCTAGCCTTTCTGCTACCTGCCTTCAGAGAAAACAGTGTTCTTAAGAATTTCAACAAGGACCAGCAGTACAACGGAAATCAAGGGGCCTAAAGAAAGAACGGGCGGGGAAATAGCAGCAGAGCCCGGGTGGAGGGAAAGAGGAGAGGCGTGGTGACGTAGCAGCAGTGTTTGCTGCGGCATCTGTGCGTGAAGTCTCCACGACCACTTTGACATGTCACTCTCCCACATTCCTGTCGTGGAGAAACACTGGCATTTTATGTGTAAAAGGCAGAAAAGTAAATTATCGATGTATACATTTAAATACCTGAGTGTTTATTTGTCACTAGCGGTTTATGTAAAAGATTTGTGGAGAAGGTAGACGAGAGGAAACAAAGCATTTGTTAAAGGAGACTTTTAGCTGATTTACAAATTTACTTATATGTTCTTTCCTTCATTACATGATAAATCAAATATTGGCTGAAAGAGTAAATAGCAAAATATCTAGAAAGTTATTATTGTACTAGAGATTTATGTGCTAAAAATGAGACATTTACAAAAAGAACACAGGTTTTGCACTGCTCCGTACAGGTTAGGTCCACTATCCCTCTCAGAAAGGCAATGCTCTAAGTTCAATGTGCTGCTGTTCATGTTGGAGATGTTCCCGCATCTCTTTCCCAACTTGGAAGTATTCTTGACAAATGTCACTATATGCTGGCAAAGAGTGGGCAGCTGATATCTTTCTTATTCTTCGGTAAGCGTGAAATGTAACTGACTGATCCTGTATTAATAACCGTTCTACTGACAGACTTTTCCACTTGCAAGCTGACTCCCTCTCTCCGCTAATAGCTACATGGATTCCACTACAAAGGATCACGAACTCTGGTAAGCAAGCCGATTTCCGTGGTACCAAACTTACCCATTGTGAGTTACAAGGCACTGCCTCAGACCCAGCTTTCGGAAAATGTCCACCACGATCTCCATTGGCGTGTGGTCTGTCACCGTAAAAGGGCTCATGTCAAGAATGCTTCGAAGTTTCAACGGCCGAGGACTTTCTGCTGGAAGAGACGGGGTGTGCTGTGCAAAACACACCCGGGAACTGCCGACGATACCTTCTTGTTTTTTTCTGGCACTTTCTGAAAAGAGAGAGAAGAGACCCAGAATTTTTAATTAACAGATTTTGTTCTGTTTTTTTATGGGCAACCTGTTTATTCAGAGATAAAAAATAAATGTATCCTATGACTTTTGGTCCCTTTACTTTCTATCTTCTCCTTAACCAAAAAAGGAATCAAATGAAAAGCTATTTAGCAGTTTCTTATATTTAATTGAATTAGACTCCACCAATAACAAATCACCTTCATGCAAACAAAATGTTTTTTGGTATAATTATACCATTTCACAACTTTCTTTACTGGGGCTGGAACTGGTTTCTAATGTTGGAGGATAAGGAAGCATGTTTGGAATATGGGATTTTAAAACTTGAGCCAATTATGGGAGCAGTTTATTAAGCGAACCCATCATCGAATGGAGCCTGCCTATGCTGAACGTCACTTCACTGGAGGTGGGGCTGGAGAGTTTCATCCTTGCTTTGACTACGCTGTATACTCCGTCCCTGTGAATCAGCTGGTTTTCTTTTCTGACGTTAAAGTATAATTTTCTAGATGAGCCACGAGCATTACGGATGGGTCGAAACTACAGTTATGCACGTAATGCACACAGACTGATGTTCTGGGTTGTTTTATTCGTAAAGGCTCTGTTGATTTCTCCTTTTCCAGTGTGCTCTGCTTCAAGAGCATCTGTCCTGCTGCCTCCTTCCGCTTCCACCTTTAAAGTACCAGGCGAGAAGTGGCGAACACGGAGAAAAGTTCGGAGACCACAGGACAGAGAAGGAAACCCATGATCTGGGGAGAATTTGAAAATAAAATGGTCATCGGCTTTATGTTTCTGAGTTAGCATTATTCAAAACTGAGTGTGTACAAATAGGTACTTGTTGTAGTAAAAATATTTTGAACGTGAATTTTGCCACAAAAATACCTAAGGCAAAATATAAGCATCAGTCCTAAATGGAGAAGCAGTCATCACTGTAAACACTGCACTGCTTTTAATTCCTTTTGACTACTAAAGCCCTCTTAACTGTGTTGTGACACATTAGAGTAGAAAAGCGTGAAGCGATGTGCTAATAGCTAGTACTTACTAGGGCACCTTAAAAGCATGATCATGGACGGCATGGAAAAGAAGAAAGTCCATTAGCAACTGACAGGAACGATTTTTGAAAAATGCCCATTAAGTTGGTTTTAGCTCATAAGAAGAGTCTGACACCAGAATGGTGCAGTGTAAATACTATTAGATGTACGGTTAATGGGTTCACAAAATAA